TTTTTTTTTTTTTTTTTTTTGGTGACCGGTAAGGGGATTGCAACCCTTGGTGTGGTGTCAGCCGCACCACGCTCAGCCAGTGAGCGCACCAGCCATCCCTGTATAGGATCCGAACCCACGGCCTCAGCGCTCCCAGCGTGGCTGTGCTCCCAGCGCCACACTCTCCCGAGTGAGCCACAGGGTCGGCCCGTCTTCTTTTTAAAAAAAAAAAAAAAAAATCAGGTCCTCCTAATAATCAACATGTCCAAAACTGAATGTCCATCTTTCCTCCCAAAACTTGCTTCTTCTCCTCCTCTTATGTTCCCTAAATCAAAAATGGCATCACAATCCCTCCAGGCCTCAAACTTCAGTCATTTTCAGCTACTCACTATTCCTCAGATCCCACTCTTTCTCCTCCCTTACCGTTCAGTCAATCCTCAGGGTTGTTTGTATCCCTGAAACATCTCTCAAATCCATTCCTTCTTGTCCATTTTTATTGCCACTGCTCCAATACAGGTCTTCATAATCTTTACTTGGTCTTTGGTCTTTTGGGAAGGGGCTCTCTAACTGGTCTCTCTGATCCCGATAGCTCCTTCTCTAATTTGTTCTTTACACTACAACCAGAGTTAACTTTTAAAGGAAAAAGAAAAAGACAAAGAGATATACAGAGACACAGAGAAAATGAGGACCTGGTCCTTTGATTCCCCTTCTAAATTATATCTTAAATCTATCCACTTCTCTCTGTTACTACCACTGTAGTCCAAGTCACCACCATCTCTCGCCTGAACTACAGTACTATTCTCAATTGTTTTTACTTCTTCTCTGGCCACCTTCCAATCCATTCCATGGCCTACAATCAGTACACTGTTAAAAACTCGAATATAATCATGTCACTCTCCTGATTAAAATCCTTCACAAGCTTCCCAGTGAACTTAGAGTAAAATTTAAACTCCTTACCATGGCCTACAAAGGCCCCCCATATTCTACTTCCTGCCTATCTTACCAGCTTCCTACCACCCATGTACCACTCTTCCTACTTCACTCATTATTAGTTTTTCCAATGTGCCAAACTCTGTCTTTCACCTTACGGCCCTTGTATAAGCTATTTCTTGTGCATAAACACTCATACCTACGTCCCTTTGTCTTGGTACTCCTACTCATCCTTCAGGGGTCTGCTCAAATATTACTTCTTCAGAAAGGCCTTCTTGCACTCCAGATCTAATTCAGGTTTCTTTTCTCACCCTGAACCACGCTGAACTTTTCTCTCATAGAGTGTGTGTGCATGCATGTGTGAGCATGCAAGCAATAATTTGTAACATACTTGTTAAGAGCCACACTCTGAAACCAGATTGCCTACATTCAAATTCTACTTCACTGAGCCTCGGTTTTTAAAATTATAATATTGGGATAATAAAACCTGTGCTGCAGGGTGGTTCTGAGAATAAAATAATACTTCTCAAGTACCTTGCACATATTGAACACCTATAGGTAGGTATTCAACACATGTTAGAAGAAAACTGGGGAATGGTTAAGGATTGTTTTATAAAAGAGGAAGCATTTGAGCTGAATCTTGAACAATGAGGAAAATAATGGAGGAAAGGATACTGCAGACTTAGTAAACAACCTAACGTGATCAAGGGAAGGTAACAAGTCAGGCCTGCCTGGAGCATAGAAGTATAGAAAAAAGTAACAGATGTAACTGAAAACGCAAGTTAAGGGCAAAGTTGTACTAAATTAGTAAACTGGAATTTTTTTTTTTTTTTGTCTTTTTCGTGACCGGAAAGGGGTCCGCAACCCTTGGTGTGGTGTCGCCGGCACCGCACTCAACCAGTGAGCTCACCGGCCATTCCCATATAGGATCCGAACCCACGGCAGGAGTGTGGCTGCGCTGCGAGCGTGGCTGCGCTCCCAGCGCCGCACTCTCCCAAGTGCGCCACGGGGCCCACCCAGTAAACTGGAATTTAAACCCTGATCTGTTTCCAAACTCATGCTTTTCTCACAGGTAGCTAAGCAAACATCAAACTGTCATACCTCGCTAAGGGCTGACAATCTAAAAAATTATCTATGTATGCTAAGAACCTGTCCTTTCCCCATAGGCCTGCCTGTTTGTGTCATTATATATTTTCATCATCAAAAAGTATCCATTAATTATGACTATAAACAAAGAATCCTATGGACATGATTCAGACCCTTTAACATCTAGAACACTCGTACTTATGTATACATACAGATATAACAAACAAAAGCAGCAAAATGAAAACATTAAATTAATTCACTCAACACAAAATTACCTACATAAGTTAGGGAAGGAAAGAAACAAAACCATGGATGATCTCAAATACAAAAATCCATAAGTCATTTATATATAAAAGGAAGTCTTAGAGATCTAGAATCATGCTTTTAGTGGACTAATATAAAATTTGAATTGCATAAACTGACAGTGGCAAAAATTACCCCAATAAATTCAAGGCAAAAAATATTTTGAAATTTAAAATTATGGTGGGTGATACACAAAGTAGATCCCTACAAGTAACTTAAATGTAGGGCCTACCATACACAAAGTATCTTCCTGATCACCTTAAATGTTCCAACTCATCCTAAAAATAAATACCACGTTTTACTTTCTCTTTTCTCATTCTCTCCCATGATTCCTTACCTTCTAGGAGATCTCGGGCCAGCCCTGGCTCTGCTCCTGTGGAACGGACAAAATCCGACAGGACAGCATCCATGTCCAGGGTCATGTGATCATCCAATATTTTTAGGCAGCTGGATATAGGCAGGACATAGACCAAAATTCAGGACTCCACCTGAGGAGGAAATAAACACTCATGGCTCAAATTACCCTGGAACAGGATGATCACAGCCCAATTTCAGCAGCTTCCTAATCTAAAATGGAAACTAACTGTCCTCGTTCATTCATTTCAGTTGTATTTTAAAATCCACCAGTTTGAAATTTATTATGAAGAATAACATTTAGTTTCCTAATTCCTCATTTTTTTTTTTCCTTTTTGTCTTTTTTCGTGTCCGGCAATGGATCGCAACCCTCAGTGTCGCGCCTGCACCGGACCGGGACCGGCAACGGGATCGCAACCCTCGGTGTTGCGCCCACACCTCGCTCAGCCAGTGAGCAGGAACCGGTCTGTATGTAGGATCCGAACCCTTGGCGGGAGCACCGCCGCGCTCTCAAGCGGCGCACTGTAGCAGTGCGCCACCGGGCCGGCCCCCTAATTCCTCATTAACACTAATGTTGTAATTCCTACATTTACCATAAACCCGTAATACAACTCTGAATAATGTTTTTCCTCTACTTTTCTACGGTACTACATTTCTACCATGAGTTTGCTTATCCAAAGCAAAGGAAGGAAACAGCAGACTACTACCCTAGAGAACTCCCCACCTGCAATATTCTCTAACATGGCACCTTGTTTATTTCCTTCTTGGCACTTGATATACTCTGAAATTCTTTTAACAGTTGCTGTCTAGCTATCTCCTCTAATATGTAAATTTCCTGACAGCAGGGAACTTGTATGTCTTGTTCACTAATATGTCCCCAGCACCTATTACTTGGCACTTGGCACAGTGCTTGCACACAGGCTCTCAGTAAATATTTGCTGAATAAATGAATGAATAAATGAACACTGTACACCAGATAATTTTAGGGTTGACTAGTGTTTTAACGCTAGCAGAGGAAATGCGAGGAGTAAACTCATTGTTAAAACTACTCAAAATAAAACAATAAGCTATTCTGCACAGCAGAGTGGGGATCCCAAAGGTTCCTCATACTGAAAGTCAATCTTTGTCCACTAACTTCATGAACCCAGGAAACATACCTACCCCAAACATGTCTTTCTCTACCCAGGACAAATGATTGCCAAGTAAGTTCACCTAAAAAAGGTCTCTTCTTTCATACTGGACTTTGTTAGAAACTACGTCACAGCCTGGTATCAATCCAACATTTCCTCTGAGGTTAAACAGTCCCAACTGAGGAAGCAATAATGGAGTGAAGAACAATCTCTGACCAAATTCTGCCAGGCTTACAGTTCTCCATAAAAGAGGACTCATTCATAAAGTTGCCAGGTACACACCTGCCCCAATACACTCACCCATCCCCTGACTTTTGGAGAAGGTCAAAAGTAGAATGCTCAAAAGCAACAGGTGACTCAGGTAACTCTTCAGAAATGTCTCCTCCTAAACAGCCTAAAATCTAAGGGTGACTCCCAGATTCCTTTTCTTCACGCTTCCCCCATCCTAGGACACAGCTTGTTTAGTGGCACAATGAGATTCTAATTTTCTAAATTCCTTAGAAATATCAAAGTAAATAAACAGCAAAGATTTCTGGGTTATAAAACCAGTAGGACAGTAACTTGATAATTTAACGTGATTTTTTTCTTAGAAAGATGGCAAAAGAGAAAGTATTCTCTCTGCACTGTTCTAGTAGTACAAGAGACCCATGAGTACAGGGACATGATTATTCACATCTGTAGCCCCAACATCTAGCATAGCATCTATAATATAGTAGGCAGTCAATAAACACCTGATGAATAAATTATTAAATGACTAAGCAAGCCTCCACATCAGCTATCACCAAACCAACAAATTTGAGTATCAGCAGATCAGAAATTCTAGGACACTTCATATCACCTCTCTCTTTCTAAGGATCTATCCTGGTCCCATTCCATCTCTCGAAATTTTGGAAACTCTCCTTTCTAAAGAGTCATCAACTATACTGTCACTACTCCTACCACCCTCACATTTTATGATTTTCACCTACACCTATATAAGTTAACTGGGTGACTTTGGTGAAATTACTTACAGCGTTTCAGTTGCCTCTTCTATAAATTAGACTTGGATTAGATGACTTCTCAGATCCTTTCCAGATTTAAAAAATGAACTTTTTCAGTTCACTACAGACTCATAAGTTATGATTCTTACATTCTCTTTCAGTCGAGGTATTATCAATGTCTACCTTACTTCAGTTTCAATATCATAATTATCAGAAAGGACTACTAATACATAAAGAACTTTTGATCTAAGATACCTCAAATTCAAAATGTCAAGTTATAAAGAAAATTAGTTCCTTACATTCAATACCTAAAAATTAAATTTCTTCAGAATTCATAAATGAATGAATGGCTTTTCCCTCCCTAATGCAGGCAAGAATTCCTTCTCCAATCCCATTTTAGTCACCATCTTAGGTCACAGGAGATAGTAGCAGCCTAAATAACTTAAACATGTGAATATTCCAAAACCAAGAGCATTGCTGCAAAATGAATTTCAATCTTCTCTGTAAAAAATAAAATAATAATAATGATGATGATGATGTAAAGTAACAGTAAAGCATCTTGAATAACTTTATGAAAGAATGTGGGAAATATACAATAAGCATACAAATAGCAATCAGCAAAAAGATGCTCAGCAGAAAGAGTTGATTAAGCCACAGGCATGTAAGCAATTTTCCAGCCAGAGACAGGCTTCTGAGTGAAAGAAGCAAATGAAAACCGTCAGTGTTATGGCATCATAGATCTTACATATCAACATAGTAGGTAGGTGATTCTTTCCAAAAAAACATTTTTAAAAAACAATTTAGGGGTCTAACATTATCTAGAATGACTTGTTCTTCAGCAAAAACTCGAAGCACTAAACCAAACTTTGAGGCAGCACATTCTTATATTTGATGTCTCCAGGTGCATGCCATGGACTCCACCCTAAACCCACCCAACAGGTGAGGACAGCAGCTTTTATTACATCATCACCAACACCTGGCTTGAGCTTCTCAACTTCCAAATGGGGATATCAAAGCCAATGACTAAGACTCAACATCTTTGGCTCTGTCTCAGCACACAGGAATGCACAAAACAAAACCACCACTGGTTTTCAACCTTTCAAATGAAACAGAGGAGGCACTCATATATTTGTTGACTGAATGGTGTATACAAAGATATCAACTGGAGTCAAAATCCTCCAATCTCCCAACTGGAAGGGCCATCAGCAATTATTTAAACCAACGCCTGCTCCCATGCAAGAATCTTTCTACTACAACTCCGACAGATGAATCATCCAGTCTCTATCTGAATACAAGCTCTGATAGGGGACCTCATTACTTTGCCATGATGTCCATTTTATTGTTTGACAGCTCAAGTAGTTAGAAAACACTTTTCTAAACTAAAGCAAAAGCTTTCACCAGCCCCCCTTCCCCTATACTTTCATGTAATGGCCCTTGTTCTGTTCTCCAGAACAATAAAATCTACTCCTATATGATGGAATTTTCATGGAAAATTATAAGATAAAGCATTTCTTTACACAAACATTTGTTGTAGATCAACATCACAATATTATCATGAGCCAGCCAGTGGCCTTTAGTTTACAAAATCCTTCCTTGTAGCAGTACTTGCTTGTGCCTGCATTCATTCATAAGTATTGTGTTGGCCCTATCATATAGAATCAACATGCTGAATAAATGAAGTACCTTGTTCAAAATTCATTTCTGCTATCTTTGCCTTTCATCCCTACTTCCACTTCCATGCCCTCTTAAAGTGATGACAGCAATAATAAAAACTAACAAGTTAATATCAATTAAGCACTTTAAAAACACTATCTTTTTTCATTAATTAAATTTCATTTCTACTTTTTGTTTCATTAACGACAAAACTCCTGCAGCAGGTCTCGTTATTCCCAATTTACAAACAGAAAAACAAATAAGTCTTGAAAAGTCACATGGGTGGCCCAAAGTCTGAACCCTGATAGTCTGAACCCATGTTCTTTCTACTATATCACACTGCTTCCCAAGCGACTAGGGCATTATTGATTCCCAGAACTACACTGATTCTTAGCCATTTAATTCTTTCACCATAGGAAAGAGCTGCACCCATCTCTCATATTTATTAAAGACTTAAGACACCTGCCTTATCTTTTCCTCATTTCAAATCCTACCATCTTCCTGAGCAATTTCAACACCCACTTGCACAATCCATTCAACACTTCTGCCTTAGAGTTCCATAATCTCTTCAAATACAAAGACCTTCATCTTCACTCCAACAGCTCAGTCCTGGTCCCTGCCATTTACTATAACCATTGCACCTCAAAATCTTAAACTCTAAAAACCTACTCCGGCCACAACGTCGTATCCCTCCAGCTTTTCCTTTCTACTTCTAAACCTCCTTTCTCACCTAAGATATCCAATCCCTTAACCACCTTATTCATTAATTCAACAAAAATTCATGGAGTGCCTACTATGTGTTAGGCACTATGCTCAGGATTAAAAACACAACAGTAACCCAGACACAATCCCTATCCTCACAAAGCTTCCAGTATGGAGGAAAAAAACCACAGAACTTCACAAACAATTATAATTACAACAAAGAAATGTTGGGGATTGGAGTGTTATCTCCTTTAGAAAGTTAGAAAAAGTTTCCCCAAGGAAGTAACGTTTCATCTAAGAACCGAAGAATAAGTAGCAATTGGAGAGACAAATTGGAAAAGGAAGAATGCTCCAAGCAGAGGAAACATATATCAAAGTTCCATGGCAGGAAGGAACATAGAAATGAATATGGTACGAGATAAGGATGAAGTGAGGGTCTAGTGGACCCTTTTAAAGATTTGCAATTTTATCCTAAAAGCAAAGAGAAACCACTGAAGGGTTGTAAGCGGGTGTAGAATATGATTAGATTTGAACTGTTAAAAAGTCACCCTGGTTTCAGCGAGAATAGTTTGGAGGGAGCACAAGTAGATTTAAGGAGAATAGGTTAGAAAATTTTTGCAAAACAGTATGGTGAGTTAGGCTAGATGATAGCAGTGAAGACTG